TAGAAATTAGAGTGAATGCAAGAAAGGGGTAGTTTTCGATGCAATTTACAACTTCCTCGCACATTAGACAAGTCCGTGCTCGCTTAATTTTCAAGCAAAAAATTCGAACAAAAAAGCATTGGAGAGTGCATTTCATTAGAAATAATGTGGTGTTTGAAAAATTGAAATCGTATTATGCATTCGGCCGCTGCTGCAACACATGCGCGTAAAATGGCAAAACGTTGATTCAGTGACCTTGAACAAAAACATGCTACTATTCAAGAAGCTGCAGAAAAAAAACTATAGAAGATAGAGGGGTGCTGTCGCTGAGTTTTTTATAGCAAAAAACTTCAGCTACAACATTCATTTGAAACTTTTTACTATTGAACCATCCCTTTGTGCAGCGTTCTCCATAAACCGCAAATTACCCCTAAAAACCACCCCTAACTGAAAACCCTATGGAAGTACAAGGTCGCAAACTTAATATGTTGTTTAGCATATTAAAATGAACCGATCCCCCCAAAAAAATTTCAACTTCTAATTATGTTGAGGTAACCCCTCTTTTCAGATCTCCGTTTCTTGGACTATAATTCCTAGAGGATTAAATAAAAATATTCGGCTATTTACATGAAGCTTTTCTGTAGCAATACCCCTTTATCTTGACAGTTTGTGAGATTTCTAATAATTTACTATTGATACAATTGTAAAGAAACGTTATTGAGATTTTTTATTAAATATTTCAAGACAGTTCTAAAGCACGTTACTTAAGTGTCAAGATATAGGGTATTGATACAGAAAAGTTTCATCTGGTAATCAAATATTTTTATTTAATTCTCTAGGAATGATTCCAATGAAGAGTTTAAATTTGTTTCACCAATACACATTAAATATTGAGGTTCTTGGACTATTTCAATAATAAAAACTGTATAATATTATTTGATAAGAGATCCATGGCAAAAAACAAGTAATTTCCTGTTTTTTGTGCTTTTCCTCCAAATTTCGCAGACAGCGCTAAAACATCATTCTAATAACTTTTTCAAATAACTTTTTCCGAAATTTTGCGATCTAACCCCATTTTTCGCGTTTCCATATCTAAATTTTCGAATTTGCCGCCACAACAGTGATCACCTGACCAATGTCAAAATGTACTTTTAGGTTATCGGACATGCAGGATCGATCGCACATAAGAAAAAATTCCATATCCTACAAATAAAGAAAATTCCCATATGTAGCGAACATTATGGGGGACACTGTATAAAAAAAGATAATCAGAAAAATTATTGTTTATGTAGAATAGCAAAAAACAATAGTATGCCTTTACTTTAATCATTTTGCCACCATATTATACATGTTGAATAAGAGGGATATGAGTATCATCAGTATCGTCCCAAAAAAAAAAACAAAATCAGGCATTCATTGAGATGTATCTTTGGATAATATAATAGATATTGCAGAATAAAAAAGATCATGTTAAATTTAACAAATTTAGGCAAGGTCAGATTGCATACCTGAAAGTTTATCATAAAGTGAATAAACCGGCCCTTATCAAACTAAACATAAAAGCGATCGTAATGTATAAAATAGAAAATAACTTGTACAGGGTGGGCATTTTATTAGGGGCCTATGTCTTTTCTCAGAAACTATAGGGCGTACAAAAAAAATATAAATACAAAAGTTTCTTGGTTTTAAGCAATGTTGTCAATTATTTGAGTTTTATTTATACAGGGTGTCCCAAAAGTGCTGCACCTACTTCAAAACCAAAATTTTAAATGGAACATCCTGTATGTTATTGCATATTTGGATTCTATATAAAATTCTGAGCAGATTTCATGTAATATACCCTATACCTAAGTTCAACTGTTTTGGAAATATTGACAGTTGAAAATTGACTTTTTGCAACTTTGACAGGCTGTGAAACCTAAACGGTTAATTTTAGACGAAAACCGATTATACATTCCTATCTTAGATTTTTATAAACTATCATTTGACACCAACTTTGAATTTAATCCATGATTAAAAATTCCATTTAAATTCAATCTCTGGTTAAATTCAAAGTTGGTGTCAAATGATAGTTCATAAAAATCTAAGACAGGAATGTAAAATCGGTTTTCGTCTAAAATTAACCGTTTAGGTTTTACAGCCTGTCAAGTTGCAAAAAGTCAATTTTCAACTGTCAATATTTCCAAAACAGTTAAACTCAGGTATAGGGTATATTACATGAATTCTGCTCAGAATTTTACGTAGAATCCAAATATGCAATAACATACAGGGTGTTCCATTTAAAATTCTGGTTTTGAAGTCGGTGCAGCACTTTTGGGACACCCTGTATAAATAAAACTCAAATAATTGACAACATTGCTTAAAACCAAAAAACTTTTGTAATTATATTTTTTTTGTACACCCTGTAGTTTCTGAGAAAAGACATAGGCCCCTAATAAAATGCCCACCCTGTACCTAGAACATATTATATTAGATAACTTGCAAGCAGTAGGTGATATACATAAACAAAAAAAACTAGACAGACCTTAAATTGGTATGTGGGTAAATTTGGCTTTTGCTCAAAATAACTTATTTTTATTTTACAAAGATCTAATTGATTTCGATTATATCCCAATAGCAATGAAAACATTTAAATTTGAAAAATTTCAAAAAACTGTTAGAGTAGAGGACCATAGTATAGTCTTTCCAGAGTCAGTTGAAACAAGGTAAAGGTAAATCACAACTGGTGACTGAATATTTTCACCGGAAAAATGCACTGCCACTAGTTGCAATTTATTATTACCTTCCTTCAATTGACTTTGGAAATACTATACATACAATTTGCTATTATATTGTAGCTGTTATAATGTATCTTTGTTTGCTTATGCTATTGATAAAGATTTTTTTTCTCTAATTCTTATTATTATTATTATTATTATTATTATTATCATATACTGTAGGTAATGTTGTGAACCAGTAAATTCATTATTTTATTATTAATAATATTAATGTCAAATACATTTCCTCTTTACCAAATTCCACCATTTGTTCAGTTTAGTCCCCTGTTCAAATAGGTACTTCATGACCGAGTTTATAACATATTGCCTAAGAATACCCTATGGAGGGTATTTTTGCCGCCAAAGACAATAATAGGTACTCTCCCAGTCCTTATTTTATCATCCAAATGGTGAGAAGTGCCCTTAGGTTGCTTTTTAGTTTTTAAAATTAGAGTAAAGGAAGTCGTTTTGTAACATCGACAGTGAACAGTCGGTTTTTAACTTCAAAAGCGTTCAGTCGAGTTCCAAAAAATTAAACGAAACCAAAGAAACTTTCAGGAATCTCGAGTTTTATTTTCTACTTTATTCAAATAACAGAAAATAAGTCCCTTTATATTTATACCCTTTATATTATAACAGTATACATATAAAAATTGTCTTGCAATAATTATGGACTATTCATTATCATTGGATAAGGTAGGTACTCTATCACAAATGCCAATAATAATAATATTATGAACAGCAATATTCTCAAGCCCTATGTTCTCACTCAAATGCCAAAGCCTTGACTTATTTCACCATGAATTCCATTCCCCTACCATAACTAATGCAAGCGTCTTACTTAAACACAGCAACCCAGACAGGGTCCGCCTGGACAGGTCGGCATTGAGGTAAAATTCAGAAATAAAATATTTTTATGGAGGAGGATCTCTATAAAAAGGGGCCAAATGTAGCCAGTATAACCCTGTACCCAGGCCCAAGTAGAATTATGATGTCGCTGGCGTGATGCAAAAACTTGTTAAGTCAAAATTTGGGATTTAAAGACATTTATATATTTCACTAAGTCTGGTTTCATTCTACGGTTCAGGATCTTAAAACTCACAAAGTCATAGAGAGCGAGAATACAACAAAATTTTAAATTCATTAGGTGCCGGTACTTTTGCTCTTATTTGACAGTCGTTAAAAATAAGCAGGGCTTTGAATGTGCTCTAATCACATCATACTTATAGACCTTGACCCATGCAAAACTTTGACGACGTATCAAATTCGTTAATCGAGAGCAAAAGTATCGACCCTAAGTATTTTTTTTTTTAAATTTTTTGGAAAGTTACAGAACTGGTAAAAAAAATTATTGACAATATACACTAGATGTTGTATTTTTGTCGAGTATAGCAAAATGACAATTAAAAAATATAAACCTTCTTTATGAATTGGGTCAAACGAAACATGATACTTTATTTAACACCATTTTCTCGGAATGACCTATTTCGACTTTATGAGTTTCTGCAGCCAGCCCGCCATGTAGACCCCAAGAACAAAAGCACGTTTTATGGCAGAAAGGCGATATTCAAACGCCTTTGGAAGCACGTACTAGTGATTTCGAAAGGTTCTTGAACTATTTATAATACCATACCTAACGATTGCACTGACTTTCAAAAGGTTCTTGAACTGTTTATTATGTCTTTAATTATTGCATTGATTTTGAAAGGTTCTTGAATTATTTATTATACTTAGTGAATATTTCTACTATTGCTGAAAATAATACAATGGACTAATTTAGCTTTTGTTTTTTCATATTTTTGTTCATTTTGTAGGTATTTTTAAAATCTAGGTACAAAGGTATAGTTTTTAGATTTTAGTTAACACGCTTTGTCGATGAATAATAAGTTGTTCACATCGCTAATTATTTATTATTATTTTTTATATTTTTTTTTAATATGTTTTTGATAATGTTGTTTCTGCTTTCTTTTATGTGCTTGTGATATTAACATTTTAGTCTATTTTATGTCGTTATGTTTTGATCTCTTGAAGTGATGGATAGGTACCTACTTAACTTGAAAAATCAATTGGGTATTAGTTTAAAAATTAATTTGAATATTATTAACTGTGATAGAAATTAAAATGTATGTATAGTTTAAGAATCGCTTTGTCAATGGTTTTTATAAAATTTCGACAATAAAGCATTATTGAATTGAATTGAAGTTGTTTTTTTGGCAATAAAGCACATTTTGAATTGATTTGATTTAGAAGTTGAATTTAGTGAGGGTTGGATTACAAGAAGTAATAGTTCAAAAATGTTCCCAAGATGTTTTATAACAGTTTTGAAAAATTACACTTTACTGTTGTCAGTCAAATAATTGCATTTAGGTATACCTACTATGATATTGGTGGTTGAAATATTATAATTTTGAAGGTAATATAATTAAAACATAGTTACCTGCTTTCATCTCCCGAGCTTTCCCCTTCAAGAGCAGCATAGCCCTTGTCCTTGTCCTTTCTATCTTTGCGTTTTGCGATCATTTCTTTTTTGATAGACTTCTCTGAATCATTATTATCTAAGATAAATAAAAACAATTATTAGATAAATAAAAACAATTATTAGATAAATGTTATTATCTTATCTTATCTGGAATATAAAACACTAACAATCATCAGTAGCTTTCCGGTTTTCGGATGAATACAGACCAGGGAAGTTTTTCCTCTCCTCAGGACTATCGAATTCCATCTTCACAAACAGGGACACCGGCACCAACAACACAAATAAAATTTCGTTGTTTCTGAAGATTTAAGTTGAGTCAACTCACAGAATCAATAGAGAACTGTAAACCGAACAGTCAAAGACGAAGTCGTACTGCGAAGTGCGAGAAGTAGCGAAAAGCCGCGAAAGGCTTGCAAGTTGAAAAACGTCGGGATTCGGGAGTTGGGGTTAAAACTGGGTGGGGGAATTCTACCTGCTCAAACAATACTGCTTGTGCTTTCTTTCATGTCTCGATTGTTTCTTCACGAGAAAGAGATGGTGAAAAATTTTGTAAATAAATATAAGATCAAGATCCTGCTATGATAGGAAAATTAGTAAGAATAGAAAAATTCAAACACAAAACATAAACAATAATATCACGCAACCATTTTAGTCAAACGTCAAACGATTTTTCTTCTCTTATTTACCTTGCGTTCGGTATTTTGCTCAAAGAGCAGAGCGTGATGAGCGGAGCTGTTATCACGTGACCAGCGAGCGAACAGAGCAGTTAAACGCTGTATCAGAGAACCAGAATTTTTTATAAATGAACGCGAATGAGCCTGCACCGAGTACACTTTTCAAATAAACGAACGGTAAATTCAAGCTCGGAGAACTCAGATCAAAATACCGAACGCAGGGTTAATTATCTTCTAGAAAGAGATCAAAAGTAATTACTAATTTTAAACTTTGACGCATTCGACAGCTGACAACCGCGGTTTGAAAAATAGCCGAGGTCAAGAGCTTTGTTCGGGTTTGAATAAAGGACAGGCGTTTAATACTCCTTTAATACTTTTATTGTTTTGGGGTTATATGATATTCTGTGATTGTCCGTTTACATTTTAAACTAAATACTTATCTTCGACTGTGTAGAGTTCTAGTCTAGTTTCCTTTGTTAATAAGAAACATTTTGCCATGTGAAAACACTAAAGCACATTTTCATTCATTTATTCTATGAGATATTATTGCCTTGGTAACTTCATTATTATTTGTCTGACAAATTCTGTCACATTAATAATTATCAAAGTGGTTCAAAACAATCGCACAGATCTATCAACAAAGTGACAACGGCTCGACTCAATCACAAATTTCAATAATAAACTGTGCAATTGTTTTGAACCGTTCTAGTAAACCGACCTTTTTCCAAACCTAAACAAAGCGACGCCTTCAAGGTAAAATTTATTCTTATTCATACGTGAGCGTGCATTAATTCGGCGATCACCTCAGGCGCTCTAAAATCATTGGACAAAGAAGGAAAATCACCCGACAAATTATGACAATAACCATTTTAACTTTTGATTTAAGCGCGAAACGAAAGAACGCTGTGATGTGAGTCATCGTCTGTGTGTTGATTCTGTTGATGTTCAAAAAACCTTAATTATACTTTTTAATGCATAAAAAAAAAACATGAAAATATGGCCAATCGCGTTACTTCTCTCTCGTGATGAGGCTTCAGGGCAAACTAGGGGACGAATTTATAGTCATTCCTTGAGTCTGCCTTAAAGGTCGTGAGTTTAGAATGGACACTTAGTACTATTTGACAAGTAAGTCATGTCAATTCTAAACGTTCAAGGCTTCCTTAAGGTCCAAGGAAACCTCAAGGAGCGACTAGAGGCCGACTTCCTAGTTCTCATAACCGCGTATAGCCTAGTACTCATACCAGCGAAATTCGCTCTTTTTTGACATTGCTTCGACAATTTGACGTTTTATGCGTGTATCAAACGTCAAATTGTCGACGCAAAAAAATGCGAATTTCGCGCAAGTGAGAATGGGCTCATATTGCAGATTTTTATTTTGCGGATTTTTTTTCTATTGGTCGAATATATTTAAATCTGTCAAATTTAAATAAAATCGACCAATAGAAAAAAATCCGCAATTCGCGGAAATGAATACTAGGCTATAAACTGAGCGAGTCGCTCGGAGTAATAGTACTTTCTTCGCGACCCTCGCTAGAATACAAATATCAAAATGCAGCGTAGAAAGTCCTTTGATGTTGATAATAATAATAATAATAATAATAATAATAATAATAATAATAATAATAATAAGGGTTTATTTATTCCAAAATATATTACAAAAAAATTGCCAATCCTTTCATTTTGTCTTTGCTGCCCCTGATCTGATCTAAACAGAGTTGCCCGATCCTCATGGTGGGTTTTGGGTATTTGAAAACGCCTATTTATATGTTTGGTTTCAAACTTAGATGTCGCTTCTTCTATTCTATCAGCTGGTCAATTACCAATTTATTCAAACCTCGGGGCAAGAAGTTTTCTATTTCTAGACAAGAGAGTGATCGACACAGTCGTAATCTATTACAAAGACAATAAACAAATACAACACATATTTGAGAATTTAAATTTATTATTATTTTGATATGAATAAATGTAACAGAAGCAGAAACATATCAAAAGAATACTCTACTGAGATATTACACTTTTGAAGTAAGTTATTGCTGCTCTATTTGACAAAAAAAAACTCCAAGGCACCCTTTTGTGGCTGGGATTTTCTCTTATTTTTTTTTATATAACAAAATTAAAATCATGGCCGCAGGTTTCGATTCGGGAAAGCTGAATTAACAAAAAATCTTCTCAAGAAAACTCTGCAAAACTTGACACTCCTAATTCTTCAATTTCTTCAGTTGTGATTCATTAACTTCAGGTTTCAGGTAAGATTTTGACTTTGAACAAGAATTTGGTGTATAACCAAAGAACTTAACCAGCCAGACAAGTTTTTAATTTATTTTTGATTTATATTGTTCTGTTATTTTGATATATTTTTCTTGTAGGTATTGGTCGGATACATGGAAGGCTTTGATGCAATTTATTATGAGGAGGAAATAGAGAACCAAGAAGAAGCTGAAGGGGCTGATGTATCCTTGGTACCTGACCCTGTGATTGTTCGAGGGGCTGGTAGTATGACAGTGTAAGTTATTTCTTTATCTCTCTTTTTTTTTATAACCCGATAATTTTTAATTACTTGCACATTATTTAAGATCATGCTTTGTCAATGAAATTTATTTTCCGACAATAAAGTATATTTTGATTGATTGATTGATTACCTTGCTTCTTACTTTTACTACAAATTAAATACATTTTTGTATTTAGTTGGGTACTACTAAATTCACATTTTTGGGCTATTAGCCAAAATCCAGGCAATAAAATAGCATTTATTTGGCGCCAAAACCGTTGTTTGAGACATTGAAGAAAAGCAATGAATCATAAATAAATTCGATCAATTTCATTTTACATCTTATGATTTGGTAGGGGTACGAAACTATAACTTAAAATATCGGTTCTGGCAAGTCATGTATTGTTTGCCCAGCGGTTCTAAGTCTACAGAAGGAATTCGGACGTAAATGTGCGATATTGCCAAGTTTAATTATAAAAAAGCGAAAATACTAGGCATGAAGTATAGTTCATTTGAAAATCCATTTTTTAATAACAAAATGTAGATAATATGATAATCGTCGCAGAGTAAACATCACGTTATAGTCAGCTCCTACAAATCCGTAAAAATTTGCATTTTAACATCAACTAAAAGACTCGAGTTTTCGAGCAATCAGTATTTTCGAGTGACGCGGATATTTTGAAAGTGTTTTTACGGCTCTAAGACTTAAGTTTTCCCAATATTCTTCGATATTATTGTAATTTGTGTTGTCCAATAATAAGATATAAATATCCAATCCGGTGCGAACCATTGCTCTCCCCAAAAAAAATTGGATAAACGATCTGATTGTTGTGAACATTCCTTCCCGCGCCTACTATACCAACAAACCAGTCCGTGCTGCGTTGCGGTAATTGGATAAAACATTGTTTATTGACTGAAAAAATGCATTGTTTCAAGTGCAAAATTGAGGAAAGGGATGCTTCCAGTCTTTTGTCTTGCGACGGTTGTGGTCGCAATGTCCACAAAAAACCTGAGTGTAGTGATTTGTCTGCATCTGAAATAAGGGTCATGGAGCTTAAATCCAAAAGAACCCTCAAATTTTTCTGCCTTGATTGCCAGTCTGGATTGTTGAATGTACCTAAACTAATAAGGGCCATAAGCGAGCTGAAGGAAGAACTCAACAAATTAAAATCACGACCGACCCAGGCAGCACCAGCTACTTCAGGAGAGGAATTTTACAATGAACTCCAGGATCGACAAGTTAGAAGCAATAATTTGATGGTGTTCAATCTTCCTGAAGGCAATGACACCGCCGAGTTACAGCAACTGTTCAGTACCCTGTCAGACAACCCCCCTGCAATTATTAAAGCTACAAGGATTGGAAGCAAAAACAAAAATGGGTATAGATCTGTTGAAGTGACACTTTCCACTCAGCACGAAGTACTCTCCCTATTAAAGAATCGAACAAAGCTAAAGGGTAAAAAAGTCTATATCAACTCCAACTTGACCCCCCAGCAACGTGCCCAAGAAAAGGATGTCCGTGCACAGCTTGCGAATCGATTATCTCAAGGGGAAACAAATTTAATTGTGAGATATCGTCATGGCATTCCTTCTATTGTATCAAAAAACCAGCAAAGGGCCTAATTTCACACAATGAGCTCTCGATCTACTTCCAAAATGTAAGAGGCCTCCGCACTAAGCTAAATTATCTTTTGCAGTCTCTCCCAGGTTGCCACTATAAAGTCATCGTATTTGTTGAGACCTGGCTTAATGAATCATTTAATGATGCTGAATTGTTTATGCAGGATTACAGGATCTACAGAAGGGATCGATCTCTCCAAACCAGCATTTATAATAGAGGCGGGGGGGTTCTAATTGGGGTCCACAAATCCATCAAAAGTAGGCAGCTATCTGTACAAGATAACATAGAAGATGTTTTTGTCCTTATCGAAGCGGGCAAGAAATCCTTTATTTTAGCTAGTGCTTATTTTCCCCCTCGCTCACCTTCCGCTGCTTATGTTTCGTTCAGTGAGAATATTGACAAGCTATCTGAGGAGCACCCTCATGCAACAATTGGAATTCTTGGTGACTTTAACCTGCCTCATGCATTATGGGAAAACAATGCTCTAGGCTCAGTTGTCAGATCTGTGCCTCCTGCACCCCCTAACGAAGCGGATTCCTTGGAGGTTATTTCCAACATGTGTGCCTTCCACAATTTATTTCAACTCAACATGGTCCAAAACATTTCCATGTCAACACTGGACCTGATGCTTTTTCAAGACGAAACCTGCGTGGTCCGTGAAGCTGATGATTGTATTGTGCCACTGGATGATTATCACCCACCCTTGAACATTGAAGTGTGTTTTAATTCTGACAATATAAATGAATCTCGTTTTTGCGACGGTTACTTATAGAGGTTTCAAGTCGGCGAGTTTAAATTTAATTAGTGATTACTTAGGAACCATAGGATGGGATGATTTTTTTTTTTTTTTTACGGATATGCGCACTCGCAAGGAAATGTCCTATCACGCTCGAGAAGCGGCAAGTGCGCGGAAATGTCGGTGTATGTTGGTCTTGAAACGGTTCAGGTTGTAACCTGCAGGGAAAACCGTCGCACGGAGTTTATTCCACAGCGATGCTGTTCTCCAGAGATATGAATTCTGATATAATGAGGTTCTTGGTGCCTCTAGTTTGACAGTAAATTCATGGTTACCGTCTGTTTATTATATACAATAGTCGGAAATTATTTAATCACTTACCTGTGGAAATAAGACAAGTGGAAAGCAACAAAATATTTAAAGGGATGGTGAAAAGGTTACTAATTGAGAGGGCTTATTATAACTGTACTGAGTTTTGGAATGATAGATTTTGACTGTATCAATTGATTGGCTCTGCCAATATCATTATTATTATTATTTTTATTTTTATTTTCATGATTTGACTTTTGTAATTTGTGCTTATTGTTTTATTCCTGTAGCGCACGTATAATGTATATATATATATTTTTTACCGTCATTTTAATTTAATTTGTGTGACATAATTATGTGAGTGATAGGTAGTTGACGTCCGTGACTACTTCTAAGTTTTATTTTTATTTTTTGTTTGTTTTTGCCTCAGTTTTTACAATTCTTTGTGTTGGTTTCGATTGTTGTGGATCATTTTTTGAAATTTTTATCCTTTTTATGATAGATAGATAATAGATAATTTTAATTGTTTTATTAGGTTTAAGGCCTGCTTTGTCTATGACATTATTTGTTTTTTTGACAATAAAGCTTATTTGATTTGTTTGACGGGTTCGCCTGGTAGGCGCTACTCTCGGTGGAATCATACGTGCCAACTCTTCAGAGCATTTTCCGTGATAGTACCTGTAGAAGAGAGATAAATCGCCCACAGATCTGCGATGTTCAAGACCATCCAAGTTACGAGTAAGTGCGGGGTCATTGATCAGCTTGATAGCTCGTTTTTGCACGGTGTTCAAAAGCATTAAGGTATGTTTGGGTGCTGCACTCCATATATGTGAGCAGTACTCCATAGTTGGTCGAATCTGGGCTTTGTAGAGTGTCAGCAATTGGCTTGGTGTGTACAGATGTCTTGTACGAAATAGCATCCCCAGCTTTTGGGACGTCCTTTTAGCAATATCTGCCACGTGATTGTGCCAAGACATGTTGGTCTCTGCAGTAACCCCCAAGATGTTCAACTGACTCTGTAATGTGACAGCACTTCCAGATAGCATGATGTTTGGCTCACCGGTGCTGTTCTTTTTTGAAAACAGAGCTGCTTGGGTTTTCTGTGCGTTGAACTGTACAAGGTTTTTGTTACCCCAGTCCTCTATTATCTCCAGGTCGTTATTTATCTGCGATATTTGAGTTAGTCTAAGATGATGGAATTCACGTGCGGAAAGACCCGTGGGTGGTATGAGTGAGGAGACTACATTGCCATCGTCTGCAAAGCAATAAAGTGGATTTACTGTTTTATCTATGAGGTCATTTATGTAAATCAGAAAAAGAGTTGGCGAAAGGATTGCTCCCTGTGGCACACCAGCATTTATTTGGTAAGAGTTGGAGTTCTGGCCATCCAGTGCAACATAAATGGATCTGTCCTTTAGGTAACTTTCAAACCAAGTGCAAAGTTTCGGCGATAATCCCATTGCTTTGAACTTGTTGAGCAGATTTTCATGCCAAACTTTGTCGTTTTGCCAGTATGTTTGGTTTGTGCAGTCGTGTCGTTTGCAAAATTGTAGTAGATTTCATCCAAAGCAATATTGGAAAGATCATTTATGTAAAGCAAGAACAATATTGGTTCCAAGACCAATGACCCTGTGGTACACCAACATTGATTAGCTGTTTATCTAATACTGTGGTATTAAAATTAAGTTTGTTGGCGCTTTGTTAAGTACGATTTTATTAGTTTTATGCTATTATTAGAAAATTTGCTTGCCTCTGTATAAGTATCTCTGTATAAATGTATTTTTATTCCCTGCATGTAGAATCATGTTTCGTTTTCCTTTACCTATTGTCGTGGAATAACAATATTTGGTTTTATACATAATCATGTTGCATCCAAAAACACCAACATCTCTCGAGTTTTTATTTTTCAAGTAAATAGTTTTTTAGAAATGCCTAATGAGATGCTACTCACATAAAAAACCTAATTGTAAGGGAGGTACAATTTTTTATAATATCAAATTCTTATTTGGAGCAAAACAATAACATAAAAATTAGAGGTTGTACTGCCAAAATCAAAAATCTGCTTGGATCCAATCACAGAATGGTTTTTTTTTAAAATAGACAACAAAGAAAAACAAACATTATTGTTTTCACATACAGAGTAATAATTAACCAATTAATTGCAGTATCTGATAATGCCAAATTCCTGAGTAGGTATTGAGCCGGCGAGTTTATAGATTGGTCATATTACATATCACATAAATAGCAATATTGGAAATAAAGTCAATTTGATAAGTATGCTAGCCCAAGGATTTCCAATAAATATGTTGATTAAAAAACACTACGCTATACAAGGAATATTTCGGGTAAGGGCTAATTATGAGATAATTTTTTGAAGAAGGCAAATTTCAACCCGAAGTTTGCCTAAAATAGAAAAAAATGTTAAACACAACAAGTACTTCCTCTTTGTTTTTGCTGGAAATAGGATAAATAGGACAATTGAAATAAATTATGTTTTCCAATATTCGTTTTATTTATCTTTTGCACACAGAACGGTAATAAAATGTTAACCATGCCCTCGGACCGAAACTAATGTTAATGACTCCACACCACAAAACCTGTGAGTTATTGACACCATTGGCCGGGACATGCCGGGAACACATTTGCGACTTTACGCTCATTTTTTATAGCGTTGCTCGAGGCGTTGCTGGTGGCATGAGTCATCGACAATAATGTCAAACTAGGTCTATAAAATAAACTTATAATGGCATGTCTCTTTTGCCTATTCTACCTAGTTTTACTACACTTTAAACTTTGACCTAATACAATAGAATTAGACGGGCCTCTACCTTTTTATTTATTTATTTTCCCTTTGCGACTCTATCCATAATCTAGGGGTTAAAAAAAACTATACATATTTAAAAAATTGAATGATTTGTTTTTGTTTTATTAAACAATCCAACAATTCTAAATTAAGACTACATTAATTTTAGCAAAATCTTTAACTCTAAGCTTTTCTTATTTCTGTGTCGGGTTTAAATTTTCCACAAACATCAGTTTTTCGATTATTTGCCTTTGTTTTAATTTGAAAATCATATACCTATTTCTCCAGCGATAAGTAAAATATTAGTAAAACTAGGATCTCCTGGCGCATTCACCCAGCCTAAGCTGGAATTTTTTTTTTTAGATTTGGCCTGAGCAACAGATTTAGTACGGAATTTCCAAATGGTTTAGTGTCGAGGGTAGCGCCAGAAGAGTATAAGGAAACAGTGGTCCGAATAAATGGGATTCTAAAGAAAACACTACCTGTCAATGTAAAATGGTTGTTTTGTGGATGTCTTTGCTGCTGCTGTACATTAGGTTGCTCCTTGTGGCCAGTCATATGTCTTAGTAAAAGAGTAAGTAAGTTTGTGTAAAATAAAACTTAAAAAATTAAATACCTACAATAGTTATTTATATTGAAGAGTTCTTATTGACAGAGGTAGAGGTTCGTAAATAGATTTGTTTTTGGGGTAGAAAAAGTTTCTACAAATTTTGTTAACAAATATATGAAGTGGTTGCCACTCCAACCTCCCTTAGAGTTTATCATTCTTTATAAATTTAATTTCGTTTGAAACTTTTTATATTTTCAGACACAGCATTCTTTGAACAAATTACTAGAATGGGAAAATAGTTATTTATATAACAAGTTGGGACTGCATTGGCGATTGAGCAAGCAACAATGTGATTCGTCATCGATGATGGAATACGTGATCCTCATAGAGTTTCTGCCAAAAGTACCTATTTACAGACCTGACTAACGAAAATTTTGCTAGTCAGCTTGCCAGCTAGAACTTTCTCTCTCTTTATAAGTAGGTATGTGATGATTTGGGTGATATATAAATTTTCTAATTTGCGAGTTCTAGTGATCACGGAAGTAGGTACAGCAGCAAGATCTAGGTGCAATAATTATTATTCTAAAGAGAACAAATGATGACAAATTGTTGTCCGGCTTTAATAAATGAAACATAGCTCTGACTAGAGATAAATTTTTTCGAACATAGTTTATTCAGTTCTAAAATTGTTTTTTCTTTTGAATTGTAGCCTGATTTTGCAGCTGTACTTCCATGGTCACTTATCGCATTTCTATCTATTAGACTTTTGCCTGAAAAAAAAAAACATAATTTTGGACTTCAACCTTTTTCTACAATGATTTTTGTGTCCTATATCCAGAGATTTTTACTGGGTCAAGGCATCTTGAGTTTGAAATTAGGTTTAAATTAGAAAATTCTGATAATAAAGTGAACATTGAATTTGTTGTTATTAAACTCGTGGGTTTAAGTTGATAAATGAAAAATGTTTGTATTTGTGGTTTACAGAAAAAAAAACAACATCTTTAAATTACCATCTTCATCAAAAAAATTTTCTTTACTAGGATTATAAAATCACTAGGTATTGAATTGTTTTGTTGCTGAACATATTAGTCCTTTGTTAACCTTGCCCCAATATTGTTATAATTATTTCTAATCAATAAATGATCAACCCTTTCATTATTTAAGATATTTTTCTAATGTATATTTTTTTAGTATGTATTTATTATAAATAATTTGAGCCTTGTCGTAGTTTAATTAGGAAGATCTTCTTTTTGACAGGCATGTGTTGATTGTAACAATGCCTGTTAAAAACACGATAGTATTAAAATTTTTAGGTTGTTTCCTAATTGTGATTTGAAAAATGAAGTATCCAAAACAGTATTTTGTTGTTAGATTCTGTACTTGAAGAAGCTGTTCAATCAAAATTTAATAATTGCCGTGCTTGCGGCCAGATATAAAATCACAATATATATGTACACCTTTCAATTTTTCCCATATACTCTGTAAATACAATGTAATTATGTGATAATAGGCATATTGTAATTTCATTCATGTTTCCATTAATTTGTTTGACTTTATCATCAAAGCACATGTTAAATAGCATTAAATAAATATTAATGTTGAGCCGATTTTATTGTTAACTTTTAGGGAATTAATTATTAAACTGGGTAAAATCTGTATTATCTCAGAAACAAAGTATTGAATATTTAAATTCAATATTTTGGTTCGAAGTGGTTTGATTTTCAATGGATGATAAAACTTAGCTTTATTTTTGGTCCAAAAATGGGCAATAATCTCAGTGTTTATCAATTTTAATCAATCAAAAAGCAGAGTTTGCCTTGAGTTATACTCAATTTACAATTTTATTTTTTTTCGGATTAATTTTTTTTAGCATATTATGTAGTCAATTAGTTATTTAATATAGGATTTCCTGATGTATAATAATCGGAAAAAAATAGTGCAATCAATTTACTGCATTCTTCAGATAGTATATAAGTATTCAATTATTGTTCTTTTATTGTGTATGTTTGTTACAATTTTCGGTATTAAATTTGCTTTCATTTGAATAACCATTTTTTTATTTGATAATTAATCCTTTTATAAAACTGTTTACCCAAACAGAAAATTCAACTTGTCTTGTCCTTTCTGCTTCTGATTTTCTTGATATAAGGTACTGTCCGCCCAAGTTAAAAACACCGGTTAAAAAAATGAGAAGAATTTGAATTCATAGAGAACATAGTTGTCACGTACACTCACTACAAAAAAATAAGGCGTTTAATAATTGTTATTTGTTAACAATTATTAAACGCCTCACTTGGGCGGACAGTACTGGCCCATCTGGAGTTTGTAGTATCATTGGCTCAGGTGATTCTATATCCTCTTTGTCTTCACTATTTTTATGGTCTTGGGTTGGCACCTCCATGATTTTCTCTAATCCTTTCCTTTTTGTTTTTTTTTCTTGGATTTTTTAGGCAGCGTTGACAGATGAAATAAAAAAATTTCGTGAGAATTGAGGAAGAAAAATAGTGAGAAATCGTGAGACTGAAATGGGCTTAATCACAGCTTAATGCTATAAGAAAATGAAGCACATTGTGCACTTTTATAGATTTTTGATAAAGTAAACATGATTCTACATTCACAAGAAATAAACATTTTATTAATAAATCTCTTGTATCCTTGTATTTTCCGTTTTTTAGCAGGTGTTTCTGGAAGCTGCTGAGCCTGCTTTTCACATTCATTATCCGCAGGATTGCTCATAAGGCTTACGTTCGCTAATTGTCGAGTCGGCAACAGGTCTGCGAGTGACGTCTCCACTATCATCAGCTGATAGTGGTGACGTCATCCGCAGACCTCGATGTATTGCTTGCGATTCAGGCTGTGCTTGTGCTTGTGAGTTAATTTTTTCGTCGATTTCAAATTTAGAAAAGGTGATTTCAACGTTGAGGAATTCGTTTTTTTGACCTATAGGTTTTAAAACTCGGATAATGCATTTTACGCCAAGAGTTGAGGTCTGAGGAATGGCAGACACTTTCAGGATGGGGATTCTAATTGCTCGAAGTCGAAGGATGCGACTTGGAAATAACGTTGATGTTGCATATACGAGACGTTCGACTCGTTTCGACTAGTGAAATTGTAATCCGGCTGCTGCTCAATAAGAGTCCTTTTAGGTTAAGTTTTCTTGGGCGTGCGGCGCGCATGTACCAGGAGGGACGTACCTACCATAACTAAATATTAGGTCTGTTTCTACAGAAATCACAAACCAGTCAGAGTGGATTTCATTGGTTGAAACTAGTTTTCTAACTGTTTCTGACTGTTTTCAACCAATGAAATATGAAATTGGCTCTGACTGGTTTGTGATTTCTGCAAAAACAGACCTTGTATACTCGATTTTTATTTCGATCAAACGTAGTATTTAATTACCGATTTGTATTACTACAGAGAGAATTCGTAAGAATTGCTTCCTCCATTCGTGAGATCATGAAATTCTGACCAAACTTATGTAATCTTACGAATAATCGTGCGATCTGGCAACATTGTTTTTAGGATCTGGTTTGGCATGTTGCTCTTCTGGGGCGCGTTCAGATTCAAGAGTCCGGACGACGTCCAGTGAAGAGCGCACCCGATAGAGAGCGCACTCCGAGTGTGCCCGGCGATTCGCCCAATCTGAACGGCCAAGACGCATTCTCTCTTTATAACCTCACTGATTCTAACATTTTTGCCATTTTCTTCAAAATTTTTTAAATAAATACTAACTATGGAAGAAGCCATAGTATCTTCCTTCATATTTAAAGAGTTATTTAATGATGAGGACGCTTCATCTTCGGACCACGAGGATGTGCTAGTGTCAGTGATTGCTATCAATTTAGCATCACAAACTAAACAAAAAAAAAAAAGCCACTTTTTTTTTAAATAGAGTTGATGAGGATAACGAAGAATTTGGATAAACCCACCATAACTCGCAAAAATAATTATTTACAATATTTGCCTTTATTATTTAAGGTTAGAACACAAACGCGCATGCGGGGCAAATTTTATCTTGCTATTTTATGGGACGCAAAAGTGTGCGTCCGGGCGTCGTCCGGTAAAAATCTACTGACAATCTGAACGGCTGGGTAAATTTTACCCAAAGCAATCTGAACGGTCAGAACGCGCTCGGGCGACACCCGACGTTCAATCTGAACGCAGCCCTGAGTCAGCCTTGTCCAAAAGTACATGTTTTTTTACAAATTTGGACCTTCCGACATTTTTTGGTCAATTTTTTGAGGGTTATTTTTAAGGGGGTTTTAACCAGACTCAACTCAATTTGGAGCAAATTCTATAAAATTTTCAACTTATAAGGGCCATAAGTACCCTGAAACCGTACCGATTTTGGCAAAAAAAGACACAATGTTAATACATAAAGTACTAAATCTCCTGTCAAGAGATGGATATGGTAGTCGATCGCAAACAATTACAAAAACAATGAAAACTCAATTTGGAGCAAATTCTATAACATTTGCAACTTAGGGCCATAAGTAGGTAGGTACCCTGAAACTCTACCGATCTTAGAAAAAAAGTTATGACTTTACAGTTTTCCAAAATCTAAATCATAAGGTTCTTAGTAAAACGATGAAATTTCAATTTTTTTTTTGTTGTTGAGATTTTGTGTCCTAATGGTGCTTTGGGATCCTTACTCCATACACTAAATTATTCCTAGATTTGGAGCCAGATTCTATGAAAAAAGTCACTCAGAAAAATTGATAAATCACCCCAAATTGCTTAACACGATTTTATCTCGAGAACTATAAGTCCAAATGAGTTGAAGTTTTCAGGAATTGTAGTCCTCCAATGGGGTAAGAATCTCTGAAAATTTCAGCTTTCTGTTCATAATAGAAAAGTCATAAAGAAATTAAAGTTTAAATGCAAAAAATCTAAGAACAAATACCTATTTAAACCGCATCTTGCTACGATGAACCGTTTTCGAGTTAGGGAGGCTTGAAACTACAAACGCCTAGGCTGTGACGTCATGCCGGCTTCGGAAGCACAGTATAAACACGTGTAAGAATTTCCAGAATAAAAGTCAAGGATCTCACTAGAGCGAATTGCAACAACTCAAAGCACGGTTCACTGACGACTGAACAAATAGAATGCTGCGATTTCGGCGGATAGCCGGTGTGACGTCACAAGTTCCCGCATATTTTATCTTCCTAAAGGATTTTCTCGCAAACTATTTTGAATATAGGACTTTCTTCACCATCAGATGAAAAATTTAGGTTTATTGCAATTTTCTTATTCATTAGGTCAGCACAGTTATTGTCAAGTTAGTGCACATTAGGCTTTTAACTTCAACTTATTCTGGGAAAATAGTAATTGCTGCATTATTGATGGGCAGGACCATTGAGTGTTCACTTTGTGTTTGCCATGAAGCATATTAGTTTGTGATTTCTGTGAATTTGAATTTAGGTGGTGTTATGTCTATCTTCAGGAGCAAATGAAGTGCTGTTGCGGCCAGACCTGTATAATAATGTTGCACATTGTTTGTCAGGGCCTCTCTTTCTCTCCTCTACTATTTTCGCCCTTCTTTGAGAGACAAGCTATTATGACCCTTCTGGTGCACAGCAGCAAGAATTCCCTGCACCTTGAAAGGGATCGATAAGAGAACGGTACCTTACGTTCCGAGATAAAAATAAGTATTAGCAATGTACTTATTAGTACGCCAATTCTGACGTGTTTTTCTGTTTGGGGGGTGATTTCTGTTTTTTTTTTTGTTTTGCTATAGACTACATTATGAACTAAACAATCAAGAACAAATCTGAAAAGTTTTCACAAGTGCATAAAATGAACTCTGAATTCCTATGTCAACTCCAGTATGGATGGAGATGAAACGAATATTGAAACATTTGTTTCGAGACAGAAAACTTAAAGCAAACTGAAGAACAGCGCTTTATATTGGAAACTATAAAGCGGAGCCAAATTGAGCTAAAACTGCTAACGAGTTTGTACTGTTCTGGTCTTGGCCAGATTACAGGAGATGCCACTGATGAGTGCTAATAATTTTCGAAATCGGTATGCAAATTGCAATTAGTGTATCATCCAATGATTGAGAATTCAAGTTATCTCGATTGTCTTATACACTTAGAGAGAGCAAAACGACACATATTGTGTATCTTCCGCCCACCACGCTGTCAAGAAGTTTCAAATTTTTATCGCTTCCAAACCAGTCTTTTCTTGGTTTTGCCTTTGTAGGACTTCGAAGAGATGGAGCCACATGCTTCAATAGGTTTATTCCTGTCATCGCTGGCCTGTCCTCTTGTCTGTTCAGGTTGGTATGCTTTCGCTTATCTGTATTTCCTTAGGCAAATAATGGTTGTGTTTTGTTAGGGTAAATGGGTAGAGTTTGGTATTGGTGAAGGTATTACAATTGCTATTCTGCTATTCTGTACAAAATTAGAAAACTTCTTAGAAACCAAACTGACTGATTCCAAAACAAAAATACAAGGTACAGTCAGTATGACTAAATAATGGTCAACATGATTCCCTACATCTCGTACCACACCCGCACATAATTAACTCATAGCTCTTTTTGGCAGAACAAACACCGATTGAACATTGAACTGATCTTTGAGATAAAAACAACCAAAAAGTAATTAACCTTTCCGAAAGCCGAAAGCATCGAATCAAGCAATTTAAAGAAGTACTTATTCCACAATGAGACAATTTCGAGGTTCACGCAGTTTAAAGCCTTTGAGAAGTCACACAAAAATGCCGCAGCAACCTCAAAATCATTCAGAGAAAGGTACAACTCCTCGAGAAACCAAAATATGGCATCGACGCGTAAAAATATGACTCGAAACTGCCGAAACTGGTATTGTGAATTTTTCTTCCACAGCTTTAGTAAGCCTATGTCTGTATATGATTGCACTTGGAAATAAAGATTTTATTTGATTTGATTTATGCAATTAGCGCAGCATCCAATGATTGAGAACTTAAATTCAAAGGGCGATCAAGAACCAACTTTAGTTTAAGCTCTGATTTTCTCTCCTTCAGATGCCAATCGACAGAGGAAATCGATTCGTACCTATCTATA